TTACAGAGCTGAACATTGTTTCGGCTATTAAACATTCATGATAATGCCACTTCATCTATGCCATGGTGGAACGTAACTAAGTATATTTGCTCAACAACTGGACTTAAAGGGTATATATAACTCACTTTTTCAGTATTTGTGCATACATTTGACTATCTGGAGCGCCTACTAACCCCACAAGCATCCTGAGAGCATCCTGACAAACTGTATCACTGTGTGGGGCGGAAGCTGCACTGACTATAACAGGAAAGCCCTGCAGCGCATAGTGAACACAGCTGGAAGGATCATTGGTGCCTCACTCCCCTCACTCCCCTCCCTGCAGGACATATATGACACTCGCTTCACCCGCAAAGTGACCATGATTGTGCGCGACTCCAGCCACCCCTCACACAGTCTCTTCAGCCTCCTGCCCTCTGGGAGAAGATACCGGAGCCACCGTGCTTGCACCACCAGACTCTCAAACAGCTTCGTCCACCAGGCTGTTAGGAAGCTGAACTATCTCAACTCTCTCCCTCCTCTCTTTTAAGACTCCCCATGTCCAACTGCTGCTAAATACAGATTGATAGTTTTATGATAGCTTATTATATATATATATTGTTTAAATGTTTTTTTAATCTATTGCACTGTATTCACTTTATATGTTTATATGTTGGACTAGAGAGAAACATCTTTTCAACTCCCCTGTATGTTCAGTACATTGTGGAATTGACAATAAAGCAACCTTTGAGAAACTGTGAAATAATACAACACAGTCAGTTTGTTTTTGGCGGCCTGGATCAGAAACCATGTGATTTAGATTTAGCTCCCCTTCCTATGTCACATGCAGGATCATTAGAATATACTGCCCATGGCTTGAGAACTAAATACCTTTGCAAAGGAGCGCCAAAAAGGCTTAAAGAGGCAAGCTCTAAAACAGAGCATTCAGACAGGAGTAAATGCAGGTGTATTCAGACAGAATGAGAATTAGAATGTGTTTTTTGAAAATATAAGCATGTAAACATGTTCTAGTAGAAACCCCAGACAAGTATGAATGTGAAAATGAGCATGATGTTCTCTTTAAAAACTTTACATGAGCATTTGCATTCACTTCTACTCCAGTACATGTATTTTAGTGTTAGTTACTATCTATGATTTAAGCGTTACAAATGAAACTACTTAGAGAGAGTAGCTTAAATTAGCCACAGCACATTCATTACACAATATTGCATCAATAATTATAAACCCATAATGTAATATAGGAAGTTATTAGCTAGAGGTGATGAAGTGGTTCCAGCTCCATGGAGAGGTGAAACTTCATACCAGCATTGCATGATAACAGATACAGGCGGCTGGCCCAACATGGCATTACCTCCTTATATATCATTTGGAATGAACTGGAACCCAGATGTTGGACAAAGTGTGGATCAGCACTAGCACACCATGCCTACTTATGTTGGTATTGAACATACGGTATATTAAATTGGGACCTTTGCCATCAAGGATTCTGGTTTTGTTTAAAAGTGATAACCATCTCCTGGAGATCTTTATGGCTGCAAATAACATACAGCTACCAATCGCCAGCTTCAGAGAAACCTTCCTGCTATGGACCTTTTCATGGGAGACACTGTCGGCTTTCTACCTCATGACTTTGTCCTGTGTATCAGGAGCTCTGTTACCTTTTAAATGTTGTATACATTTCATTAAAAAACACAGTTAACACGGGCCTTTCTGCATGATGTGCACTTTCCCCTTTGATACTCTGAGTGTATTCTACTCCTTCTTTAGTATCTATATTTGAACTGTTATCCGGTTGTTTTATGCTGGACTTTTCCTCTACCACTCCAGGGTGTGCGTTTGATTTGTGTGTTCTGTAATTGCAGGCTTGTTCCAGGCCAGCCCAGTGAGAGGGCTAATTATACTCCAGCTTTCCTTTCAGCTTTGTCAAAATGTAATTAACTTGTTACAAAGTGGGATACGGTTGCACAAAATGTCACCAGAGAACAATTGACAACAAAGAACTGACAGCTCAACTGGCAAACAACACAGCGCACAATATCTCTGAACAGCACGGCTATAGGTAAAAATGCTGCTGCCAGAATCTGAACACGAATCAACCAAAACGACTGTGAGACTCAGAGAACTGGATTCTTTAACCCAACATTTGTGCCGATAGTGAGGAAACCAGAAAACAGATCCAAGAACGACCCCAGTGTTATTTTAGTCAGTGCTTAAAAGTCATGATGACACAACCTCCAGTGGGTTTGAAAGGCCACTGCTTTTTTTCTGTTCCTCTCTGTACCTCTGTACCTTTTTTAATCAAATTGCGGTCAGTGTATTTGGTAAATTCTATTACATAAATGTCAAAGTGAAAGACAATTTGAGTTTCTGTTAAATTCTCGCTGGAAGTTTTGCAGCCACAAAGTACATGTTTGGTGTATTATAGGACTGGACGGAGCAGCAGACCCTGATTAAACAAACAGGCACATTACTTCTGTGTTCTTGTGGTCTTTACCTTCATTTACATTCTTACTGTGATCTGAAATCCTGTACCCCACATCTAACCTTTGCATTCATCATCCTCAAAGGCACATGAAACACTACACACACAACTTTTGTGACAAGCTATTTTTCATAAGCGAGTACCCGCACAAAGCAAACTGTGAGCACTGGATCAGAACAGAACACCTCTCCTGCCTGAATCTAAACTAAGGATGAGGCAACAGAATGGGCCTTAAAGCTGCTGGAGGAACTGACGGCACTGATCCTCCTCCTCACTAGGACACTGACAAAGAGAGGCAGACAGACAGCATGGCCCTTTGTGTCCACTGACAATGGGGATCTGTCCCCTCCCTTGATGGGCTGATCTCTGGATGAGGCCCGTCAGTCTCATCCAGAGACTGACTGTAGATGGGCGAGGAAGGATAAAGAGAGAAGGATGGAGAAGACGGACTATTGATGTTGCCAACCTTACTTTATGTAGTCAGATTATATCAAAATATGAAAATTCTTGGCCTGACAGCTAATTTAACCGATGGATGGATGGATGGATGGATGGATGGATGGATGGATGGGTACTTTATTAATCCCGTAAGGGGAATTGTTTTTGCTACAGCAGCATTTATAGGTACAGGGAAATTATAAAGCAAAGCAATAAAAATAACAGAGTAAAAATATTAAATATAAAAGTGCACAATATATACAATAAATAGAATAATATTAAATTAACTAACTAAACAATAGTGCTAGATTAAACTAAACAAACAAACAAAAAAACAACATTTAAGTGCAAAGAACATCTGTCACTGCTTAAGCTACTTTCTGATGAAACGCAGACTATGAACAAGGTCAAATGTTGACCTGTACTATCAAGGAACACTTGAATTGTGTAATGTACTTCCAATAATACAAAGGTCTTGGGGATGATGGAGCATACTCACAATTTTGCTATTCTAAGAACCTTACAGGAGGCCAAGGCCAAAAACATGGATCCAGCAGCTGTACAAAATGAGCTGCTCCGGACCACAGTGATGGACAGACAGACTGACAGACCGACTACCATGTCTGTTACCAAGACAAAGATGAACTCAGCACAGTGATGTGGCCAGGTTTGTTGCAGAATTATTTCTGCTGAACAGTTTATCTGTAGTGGTAAAGTTCCATCATCCACTTTCTTCATCTCCCATGGAAACAGGCAGTGTTGCTCTTAAAGCAAATTCTGCATAAATTGAACCCATTTGCACCAGGCGGCGACCTCCGGGTCTGAAAAGTGAAGCCAATGCTGAAGTGCCTTCAACTTTATTTATTTTCCCTAATGACCATGAGAGGGAGACTCTTCTGTGGGTCTGGGAGTTGTCCACGCTTTTTGAACTTTAACCCTTTCACGGTGTGTTTTCACTTCATGAAAGTTAATTGTAACATTTTGGTCAACTAAAAATGTCTTATTCAGCGTTCGGTTGTACTTAAGATGGCAACAACCACAAAACCAAGGAGAGTTAAAAGAGGAGATGCATATGTCATATCATTGGGGTACAACATATGCTGGTCTGCACTTGCACAAAGGCTCACTAGCTGGGGCACGAGTGTACCTGAAAAACGTTCCATCAGGCGGAGCGCAACCAAAGAGAGCCCGAGCGGACACTATCTCTTTATTTTATCGCCATCTACAGTCACCCTCCAACATCGCAGCTCTAGTTGCACTGCGCATGTGCCAAACCCTATAGCTCGACACCTTGTTCCAGCCCTCATTCAATAGCCTTGCCCAAAAACCAAGATGGCGACAGCCAAAAACCAAGATGGCGACTGCTAAAGATCAAGATGGTGACGGCCAAAATGCCAAACTCGAGGCTTTAAAACCAGTCCACAAACCAATGGGTAATGTCACGGTAACTATATGTTCACTTCTTTTCTACAGTCTATGATTTTGCACCAAAAAAACATCAGACTTAACCACAAACAACACTTATATTTTAAACCATTTACAGACTGAGATGTTCCAACTATCAGCGTGCATCACCACAGTCAGCTGTCTCTTTGGGAAGTGTGGACGACTCTGTTCACATCCCTTAACAGGTGAGCCAACCAATGAGACAAGCTCTCACAACCTTAGTGCACTCCCACAACATTAACCTTTTCAGTCCACCAGTGCGGACGTTTCCACCCTGGGAGGCGGTCAAAGTGTGAGACAGACAGATATATTGTCCCCTGGATGTCGGGGTGTTCTCTCTGGGATGGTGGGTAGCTGGGACCATTAGCCAGCTGGCTCAGGACTCTTACAGTAGATCTATTCTCTCTCAGCCCACCCATGGGCCATTACTCACTACTCCCGCCTCTCACTCCTCCTCTGTTACTCTGTCTCTCGCTGCCGTCCGATGGTAATGTCACACAGAGGAAACACACGGACAGGGGAAGATGAGCATGAGGAGAATGTGTGTGTGCACAGGAGTAGGAGGGCAGAAGAATGACACACAGGACATTAGCAAAGACACACACACACACACACACACACACACACACACACTTACATTACCATATAGAGCTCAACTCAGCTTGAAAAGTCCACTTGCAGAGTTAAAAGTCCAAAAGAACGAAAAGACCTTTCAACACAATGACTTTGTCACGATCACTTTGGAAAACAGTTGTGACAGGTGCCAACACCGATATATCCCGGCGCTGTCTGGCTTCCTCATTCACACCGAGTGCTCATTACCCAAAGAGCTTTGGTGGCGGAGGTTATATTTTGACTTCCAAGATTTCATTTTAAGACTAACTTTATCTCCTCTTGGACATTAGTGTGTAAGCTCCTTCTCTAAATTGCATTTAGGGAAGGCAGTTCCTGAGAGTTAGTCGGGGAGGAGCATCCTCACTCTCCTCTTATCTCCTGATCAGTCCTGATTATTGCAGTAAAGCTGAACAGCTGAAACCGGTTCAGAGTAGCTTTATATCACACAGTAAGCAAAGGAAATATACACATCTACATAGAAATAGGCAAAACATACTGGCCTTGTTCAGTGACATCTAGGGGAAGAAAGATAGGGTGACACTGTACTTTTGTTGTCATTTTTATATTTAAAGGAAGCATTGTGTTCTTAAAAGTATGTTCTTTATTTGCCTTTAAATGGCAAAAATGTAGCGATAGATACAACATACCTTCTTATATAAGTCGACACATAAAAAGATCTATTGTCATAGAGTAGGTTGGTTTCTCTCACATTACATTCGAGTTCTTATCAATATTATGCATTAACCTATTCCACAATCTCTGAAATAACCAAGTAGTATATGCTGTTTCACATCACACTATTTATTCTCCGCTCTAAATAAACTTTGTCACCTTTACCTGACCGAGCAGTTTGAAACTTGAACAAACTCACCCGGAGTGGATTCTCCAGGATCTCCCCGTGAGCCTGAGGCGAGGTCATGTTGAGAGCCGCGTCTGGAGAGCTGGAGTTCGCCATGTTGTCCGTGTCATTTAATAAAGACATGATAGTTTAGTAGACTCTCTTCACATTGCCGTCCGCTGTCTCTCACCTCACCCTATCCGGCGCATCCCACGTCCGCTTCAGTGGAAGCCCAGAGGGGGAAAGCTGTTGCGTGGCGGAGTTTGTGCTGACTTCATGTGCGGTCGGGAACAATGGAACTTTTCAATCAAGTTGCAGGCTACAAATATGGGAAACTTTGTTTTTTTTTTTAAAGGCTATTTCAATTGGTTTATTTTTTTTTTTGGGATGGATTCAAATGAAGTTTCTAAAATATCACTAGTCTGCCTGATAGGAAAAAAATCCTCTTCGACCAAGTGCATCATCACTTTCTTTCTAGACCCGTTTTGTTTATATTCATCGGCGACTTATCTGATATACGACATTAAGAGGTGCCCTTGAACGCAGCACACGTGAACAGGTGCGTTTCCTGTTGCTCGCGCAAAGAGCGTTCCAGCGCAGATAAGCGCGCAGGCCCGCTGGCTTTAAGAACTGACGGTGTATTTGTCTGATGGTGGTCGGTGTTAAACACGGTGCCACCTGCTGGGCGCATTCAGGACGACACATACGACCGACTGTCTCTCAGATGGCTGGACAACACGTCTGATTTAAAAGAGCAGCGTGGTGTCCCGCTCGTTGTGAGGCTGATGGTGTTCTCACCTAAAGACAACAGGTGTTTCATTGTGTATGAATGTGCTGATTTATTGCCATCCACGCTCCTCATCATGGCCCTTTGGAAACATCAGCAGCAGGTGAAAGGGAGATCATAACAAGAGATGATGCAAACAAGGCCGGCTACATCAGGAGGGGACCGTATCTGATCCCCATTCAGTATACGGGTCCAGCTGTGGGGGCGTCCCGGTCAAAGGATGCAACTGAGACACATTGTGGTGGTGTCTTATTGAGGGATCTCACTGATCCCGCTCCATGTTTTGTGAATAGATGAATGCTTGTTTGTTCTGGGATGCTCGACATAATCAAAAATATTTGATCATGTGCAGGTGGGGCTGCTGCTTTCTTTCAAATACAAACACACACACACATTACAATCATTTAGCAGACGCTTTTATCCAAATCGACTTACAATTCAGACACCGTAGACACAGCTACGGGAGTAAATTTGGGGTTAAGTCTCTTGCCCAAGGACACATCGACATGAGACTAGCAGAACCGGAACCGGTGTTGGAGCTGCCGACCCTCTGACTGAAGGGCTGCTCTCCACTTAACCACAGTCGCCCGTCACACACAATACATTTCTTATTGCAAAGATGTTAGCATGAGGAAAATCATTTTAAATAATCTTCAGACTTTAAACAGATCAGGTAACTACAAATATCGATTGATACATCATCATTGATAGGGAATCAATCTTCAGGTATACTGTCGATTTTGTATTTATTCATTATTTAAACTTAATTTATCCAGGATAATCCCATTGAGATTTTAAATCTCTTTTGCAAGGGGCTCCTGGTCAGCATGGAGGCGTGCATAAAAACATAAAAGCACTGATAACAGATAGAGGCCCAGACTGTTCCCCCTCTGCTTGCATGTGCAGTTGCAGTTTATTGAGGCTGTGTGAACACCCTGAGAAACAACTGATTGAGATTAAAAAGAATGTCTCAAGAAGTCCGTTCATACTCCGAGGGTAAAGGACAAAGCAAGTTGTGAGTGTTTACACAAACAGTGAATGTGAAGGACACCACTGTGAGATCCTAAGAGCTGAAGCACAGAAATACATTGCAAGTAGCCATATAAGTGCCATTTCCTTGTGTGAGCAGACCATGACGTTTATATAAGAAGTGGACGAAGTCACCTTGACGTCACCATGGTTTGTGGACAATGGTTTTGAAGCCTGGAGTTCGGCATTTTGGCCGTCGACAATTTTGCTTATGTTTTTTTGCAACCAGAAATAACAAGAGAAGGCGGAGCTATTCAACGCAATGCTAAATAATATTTTTACACAAGCAAAATGTTACAATTACCTTTCATGAAGTGAAAACACACTGTGAAAGGGTTAAAGTTCTGAGACGAAAACAAGGACAATTCCCAAACAGAACAACCTTGTGGTAGCGACCTGTCAATCACAAGGTAGCCCCGCCCTAAAGCATACTCCTGTTTATGGTCTGTTTGACTCTAAATGGACCATAATTTACTAAATGAACATCATGCTTTATTGAAGAAGACGTGAAACTAGAGATTGAGACCATAAACTCATGTTCACAATGTTTACTGAGGTAATAAATCAAGAGCGAATTAGAGTCATTTTCTCATAGACTTCTATACAACCGGAGGAGTCGCCCCCTGCTGGACATTAGAGAGAATGGTAGTTTAAGGCATGTCCTGGAAGTCTAATTGTTCCAATAAGTGTGATGCAGCTGCCTTAAGGTCACCCTGGACACGGGCTTAATAGTTGGTTAATAAGTTATATGCTTTACTCTGAGAGCTGTAATATGGAGAATCCACGTCTCCAGCTCCCCTCCATTCATCCTGCTCCCTCTGCGTCGGTTCTCCTGAGTCAGTCCGCTTTCTTCGCCACAATAATCAAGGCCCATTTGATGTGATTACTGTGGCGTGAAGGGGAAGACGGGAGATGAATGAAAGCACATTTTCTTTCAGTTGTCGGAATAACATGACTAAACAGCTTTGGTCAAGTAAAAAACTTGACCATTTCTATAAATCTCTCTGGAGACTACTGGTGGAGCCTTGACTGACAGCTCTTGTGATGGACAGAGAGGGCTGTGGAAATCTCCCCAGCGATTATGGAGTCGCCGGGCGAAGCTTCAGATGACACCCTATTGTTTTCAAGTCAAGGAAGAGGTCGACATGTTTTTTGAACCTTGACCTCAAGTGTTGGAGGATTGAAGCGAGGGAATCCGAGCAAGGAATAAAAGACACGGAAGCGAGGGGAAAAGAGCGGATGGAAAATGTTGAGAGGGAGACGCATAAAGACGGCAAGGGAGTGGGAAAGAAAGCAAAGGAGGGAGAGAGAAAGATAAAAGCAGCTGAGCAAAAGATAAGGTCCAGCAGATTTAGTCGACACAAAAAAACTCCTACACACGCTCACTTTGCACCTCAGGCTTTGAAGGAGAGAGAGAGAGAACCATGTCCTCTTCCTACTTTCTCTGTCTCTTCCTCATTCCGGCCTCTCCATCCACCCTTCCTCCTCCTCTCTCACTGAAAGTCTGAACAAAATGTCATCTTGACTCTCTGAAGGGGATAAATAGGCTGATTGATTGTCTACTCTTGACTGTGTGGGTTTGATTATGGGATACGAGATTGGAAATTAAGGCTTGAAACTGTTAGAATGATTTAAAAACTGTAATTGATTGGCCCCCTTAGAGCTCAGAGCGGTTCCTCATCGGGGAAACCTCCCGTCTCAGCACAGCCGCTATCGACTGTCCTCTTGAAATCAACTTAACAGAAATATATTGGTGCCAAAGCTCCAAATTAAACCATTTATGACCCAAGTAATGAATTGCTCTTTCAAAATCTACATTGTTGTGTTCAAACTGAATGACATACCCAGGGCAAACCTAATAGTTTGTTTGTTACGATTAAAGGTCTGAGCTTGAAATTTGTGCCGTAGATCATTTTTAATACTGAGGACATTTGATTTCCTTTATGTACTGTTCAGGGCCGAGACACTACAATGAAGCTATGATTGAATTTATGCTGGGGTTCTGATAAGGTCTCCATCAAACCATATGAAATGTGAATGAAAGCCTGCCAATCTACAGTAAATGGTGATTCAAAATGCATGATGTCTTTTTTTGTTACCAAAAAGGTTCCGAATACCAACTAGATGTGCAAAAGCATGCCCCATTCTTTAAGTGAGCAGTTTATTGAATAACATTTACCCCCGCCCCGCCAGCCCAACTGATTAGTGGGATAACATTGTAGATTTATTTGCGGTGGGAAACATCCGTGCATAAAGCTGACTACTCTCCAATGTCACAAATCAGATTTTAAACATTATTTTCTTTCCTTTCTCTTGAAACCATTATCTGATTGGTTTAATCCTGACTCTGTTACTTGGTGGAAACCTATAGAGAGTAATTTAGCACACTCTGAAAATGAGCTCCCCAACTTTAACAATTTAACCTTTGTTCTATATCTCCAACTGTGTTCATGAAGGAATATGGAGTGCCATGGAACACTCCACTCACCACCCATGTATTGTTTTCCATTTTGGACTATGAAGGGAGAAAAAAAAGAGTTTAATTGGTGAACTACATTCACCCTTTGTCATTACTTCCTGCAAAACTCTAAACATAAAACATGTATGGTCTAAGGAGCTGAAGCACTACATTGGAGAGGATCCACTTCACTGGGAGGAGCTGTGGTCTTCGATTGTCATTGCTTCTAAAAGCCCAGATCGTCAGTATATTCATTTCAATTATATTCAAAGGGTTTACCTCACACTGAACAGGGTCAGAAGGTTATCATCTCCAAACTGCACCTTGTGCTCAGATAGACTTACAAGTACTTAGATGCATATGTATCAAGAATGTAATGATGTGAGGCTTTTATGGCACAAGGTTACTGCTACTCTATATAATTTACTGCATATAGCTGAGCCATGCTTTCCCACTGTGCTACTCATGTTTGAACAGACGTATTTTCCCAATGGGCATCACTGCTGCCAAAAGGAAGCTGGCTTTTAGTTAAAAAACCTCCCGGCGGACTACTTCAGCAGATGGGAGCTCAAGAGAAGACAGCTAGCTAGTTAGCTGGGTAGCTTGTGCAGCTCATTTTCTGTAACCAGTACAGGAAGAAAGCATGGTGCACTTAGTAAGGTAGCTAGCTAACTAGCCAGCCACTAAATGAGTCAAATTTAACCAAAACATTCTCATTCCAATTTCCTATAATGACACTTGTTCCGTGGCCTTAAGCTTCAAACAATGACGCTCCAGGTACCCCTGCAGCATCATTTCTGGACATGTCTCCACTTGTTACATGCATAGCTTCTATTCAAAATAAACTTAATCTTCACAGGAGGGGAAATATATGTATGCAACAAAGGAGCCTGGTTGATGTCAACTTGCTGGACGACTCACGTCACTACACAGTGACAAACGCTTGGGACCCGGCGTGGGGACCCGGCGTGGGGACCCGGCGTGGGGACCTGGCGTGAGGACCCGGCGTGGGGTCCCGGCGTGGGGTCCCGGCGTGGGGTCCCGGCGTGGGGTCCCGGCGTGGGGTCCCGCTGGACTGGAGGACCAGCCGAGTGATGCTCTGCTCCTGGCCAGAGGTTGAGCCACTGCTACCGGGGCGCGGAGCTCTCCACCTCCCACTGGAGCTCCGGCTGCAGATCAAAAACTACAGCAAAGCAGGATCTGGGTCTGTCGCGGTGGACTGGTCGCTGCCGGAGGCCCTGCTGTCGTCTGAGGTGAAGGAGTTTTCTGATGGACCTGCATGATTTAGTCTGAGTTTGCGCGGAATTCGACCTAGTGGCACGGATGACAAGCATTAAATATAACTATTTAGAAATTCTTCTCTATGATTAAATGGTTTCCTTATGTAGGTCATATACATAGAGGCAACAGTTTGAAATTGAGTCTGTTTCAGTAAAACGTTCCCCACAGTAACTGTGTAAGTATGAATGTAAATGCAGAGCTTTCACTTTGGATGCAGTATTGTTACAATGTCTTACTTTTGCATTAATAAAGGATTTGAGTACTTCTTCTGTTACTGGTTGTTTGTAATATTTGAATAAAGCTATGATGAAATGTGACAGAACGATTTCTTTGAAAAGCAAGGCCTGCTATCAATAAGACAGCAGATCTATGGAGGGTTTTTCAGGAATAATCTATAAGGAATAGTCCCTCCTCCACAAAGCAGCGCATTAAACCAACCGTGTGGGAGAAGAATGAATCAAAAGCAGCCCGCTTCAATGGAAAGCAGACAGTGAATAATCTGCAGATGATGGCCCAAATAATTCAGAACAAACAGCTTCAGTAATCCTGAACAAAGTCATTGTAACAAACATCAAGGTTCTTCACCCACTCTAATGAAATCTGAGGGTGTGTGTTTGTGTGCGTGTGCCGTCAGAGATACCTTTCAGCACTGATGGGGTTTGTAGAGCGGGAAGACGCCTAAATCAGATATGCTGCACAGAAGATGAACATTTCCCAGCAAGTAAAGGATAAACGCTGGCTGCCGCCTAATGTAATCCTAAAAGCTGTGACATCTGAACGCCGTCCAAATGTGCCATAGTAAAAGGCATGTTGCCGCCTGTGTTGGATTATAAGGCTTTCCTACACAGTGAGAGGAAACATGGTGAGAAATATTCAGAAAAATACAGATCGCAAACATCAAGGAATCTCAGTGAACGGAGGATGATACCCAGGCACTCAATAATACCCCGCTGGACGAGCATAATGACAGATTAAATGGGATTATAATCATTGCAACAACATTCCCACACAACCTCTGATGGATCCCATAAATAAGAAAACGTCTGTCATTTCACAGTATTGTAATCAGCGGAGTGGTTGCGTGTGCTTTCAAGGCTGTTAAGCTTCACAAATCCTGCAAATCTGCTGCGTGAGGGTGTAGGGGATCTATAGATTCCTATGACATAATCTATAACACTATATTGGGCTCACCTGAAGAGCATAGGTTTAGTTTTCATTAAATGCCCGAAAAGCATGCAGCATGAGGAGACGCCGCGTGTGAATACGACTGTAAAGAACCAATCTGCAAGGGCAATCTTATGGGCTAATACATGCTCATGTTAAGCTCCAATTATTGGGGAGAAAAAACTAAATGCAATGAAATAATAATGTGCTGGCTGCCTGGGAGTAACAATCTAGTGAAAGATTCTATTTAGAAGTAAACAGTTCCACTGCTGCCGGCGGCCCGCGGTTATGTTGCCAAATAAGTGCTGCAATACAATACAGCAAGTAAGGAAATTGCTTACAATGGTCCTAAATGTGTTTTCAAACGCGACTAAAGCCTGGTGTCTTAAACAGGGTGGCCAACAAATGACATCGGTAAGAGGAGACGGTCACAGTGGCACAGCCTGAGGGACCAATAGCTGCTATTAAAGACGTCACTTTAGATCTCCTCCTTCAACGGAATGAAGTGATAGCGACAACCTTCATCACAGCTGCTTACTCGGGTGTGTTGGGACCAAAAATGAGCCGCCTGTGTATTTTCAAAATGCACAAGGCCTCTCATGTTGGTTTATTTTTCAGTGTATCAGCTTAACAGCTCAGACTCACCATAAACTTGTCCTGGATGTAATCAGCAATTTCCCATCACACCTTTCTTGGGCGCAGAACAGCTGCCGACAAAGAGCTAGTTGATGGTACACTAACAAGCACCCCAGAGATGTAGGATAGGATATTTTGTCTGCAGCCGCCATCACCTCCATACCAGCATCATGGTTCTGTAGTGAGGATTAAAAAGCAGTGTTAAAAGTGAGGAGATGTTGGCACGGGTTGAATGTCATCATTCTATTGATCCACACTGCATGACTGTGACTGTGTGATCAATGACCATAGACTCCACAATCAATACACTTTATGTGAAGGCATCGCGCCTCTAATGAATGATATTTACCAAAATAAACCAAACTAAAAAACAAATCAGTGTTAGTCACTATATTGCATCAAATACATCATCTGGGACATTCTTACAGGACACTTATACTGTTTCTATGGTTACCTATTTGCTCTATCGTATTACTAATATTAAAGGGAACTCCTGATGTGTGATTTCAGGGTGCTTTCACACCTGTTGGGTTCATCTGCTCCGAAGCACGGTAACACAATGATACATTGTTGCTTTTTAGTTCTGGTCCAGTTAATGCTCACACTGACTTTTGAAGAGAGTTGAAGTCATACAGACTGACAAGTTATTCATTGATTGGATAGTTTTGGCAATTGTCTTCCTCCATCATCAGGACCCCTGTGTCAATCAGCAGATGAGTTTATTATCAGCTTAGCTTTTAAAATCATAACACCATCACATATTTGCTATCATAAAGTCCCGTGGTTGGTTTGTTTTTCTTTCACACCACAAACCAGAGTCTACTTGGAAGCGGACCGTTCCGGCCCGGAACGATATTAGCTTGTGAACTTATTGTATGTGACATTACAATAATCCCTACATGCAGTAAAGTTATGGAAGTCAGTTATTTTACACTTAAACCGGAAACGCATCATTGCAGTAGTTTATTTTGTTAGTGACTCCCTCTCCTCTCCTCGCGGAGCCGTGACTCGAACCCCCCCACACACACACACCAGGATGCTGAGATCACTCCTGGAGGGCGGTGCAGAAGGAGAGCTACGTGTTGCTGCGCAGCAACAGATAGAGAGAGAGAGAGAGAGAGAGAGAGAGAGAGAGAGAGAGAGAGAGAGGAATTCCCTCGCACAACAAAAAGCGGCTGCCAGGGCGTGTATCTCTTCCTATGGCTCCCCAGAATACACTGTTTTTAAATGTAGCCGATACCTGTAGCTGAAGGAGGTGTTTGGTCGGCGGGTGCAGGATGTAAGGACTACCGGCTACAACCAGCCTCCGGGTGAATTTGAGGAGGAGGTGCCCGTGAATTTATCTCTTGTCTGGAGGGGCAACATCAGATTTGACATCGTCCTCCACTGACCAAGCTGAGCACATCAACCCGACGGAGACTCCAGGTCTCTGCGGTTATTACACGGGCCACAATTTGCAATATGCGATCACCGGAGTTGAAAGCAGATTCTTCTCGCGGGGTGGTTCAGTGATCCGGCAGCGCTTTAAGGTAAGTTCCTTGTTTCAGAAGGTTGGAAATGTAATTGTCTGTAATTTGGGAGAAAACACGTGTTTGTCACAAATAGTTTTTCTGTTTATTTTACTTTAAAAAAGCAAATGTGACTCTAAGTCACAGGATAATACATTTCTTTCTCTCCCTCTCTGAATGTGCGTGCACTCTTTGTACTGACTGTCTCTTCCTCTTTGTGTCCATGTGATTTTGTCCGTCACCCTTCTTTTCTTTCTGTGCACCGCGCGTCTATGCGTGTGTGTCCCCCCGCTCCAGACATGACGGGTCAGGCCCTGGGGAAACCGGGCGGAGGGGCTCACACGGATGACAACGCCGCCATCCACATCAACGTGGGCGGCTTCAAGAAGCGCCTCCAGTCCGACACACTCTCCCGGTTCCCCGAGACGAGGCTCGCGCGCTTGCTCCACTGCCAGTCCAAAGAGTCCATCCTGGAGCTGTGCGACGACTACGACGACACGGAGAAGGAGTTCTACTTCGACAGGAACCCAGCGCTCTTCCCCTACGTGTTGAATTTCTACAAAACCGGCCGGCTGCACGTCATGGCCGAGCTGTGCATCTTCTCCTTCAGCCAGGAGATCGAGTACTGGGGCATCAACGAGTTCTTCATCGACTCCTGCTGCAGCAGCGCGTACCACTGCCGGAAAATGGACCAGGACCGGGAGGACTGGGACGACAGGAGCGACGAAGGGAGCACCACGTCGTCTTTCGACGAGCTGTTGGAGTTTTACAGCGACGCCACCAAGTTTGACAAGCAGCCGCTCGGGAGCGCGCGGAGGCGCGTGTGGTTGATGCTGGACAACCCCGGCTACTCCGTGGCCAGCCGCATCATCAGCATCCTCTCTATCCTCGTGGTGCTTGGCTCCATCGCCACCATGTGCATGAACAGCATGAGCGAGTTCAGCCTGGTAGACGGCGAGGGGCAACCCGCGGAGGATCCCCGGTTCGAGACAGTGGAGCACTTTGGCATCGGCTGGTTCACTCTTGAGCTGGTCGCCAGGTTCACGGTGGCGCCGGACCTGCTGCATTTCTTCGAGCACCCGTTGAACGTGATCGACCTGGTGTCCATACTTCCGTTTTACCTGACGCTCCTCATCAACCTGGTGGTGGAGAGCAGCCCGGCGCTGGCCAACCTGGGACGCGTCGCGCAAGTGCTGAGGCTGATGAGGATTTTCCGCATCCTGAAGCTGGCGCGTCACTCCACGGGGCTGCGCTCGCTGGGGGCCACCCTCAGGAACAGTTACAAGGAGGTGGGCTTGCTGCTCCTGTACCTGGCCGTGGGCGTGTCGTTTTTCTCCGTCATGGCCTATACGGTGGAGAAAGAGGACAGCGAGGATCTCTCCACTATCCCGTCGTGCTGGTGGTGGGCCACCGTCAGCATGACTACCGTCGGGTACGGGGACGTGGTGCCGGTGTCCATAGCGGGCAAGCTGACCGCCTCGGCGTGCATCCTGGCCGGGATCCTTGTAGTCGTGCTTCCGATCACGCTCATTTTCAACAAATTCTCTCTCTTCTACAAGAGGCAGAAACAGCTGGAGGACGCGATGAGGAGCTGCGACTTCCACGAGGGGATCAAGGAGGTGCCCTCGGTCAACCTGCGGAACTATTACGCGCACAAAGTCAAATCCCTCATGGCGAGCTTGTCAAACATGAGCCGGAGTTCACCCAGTGAGCACAGCCTGAACGAATCAATACACTGAGGCTGGGTTTCATCAAGGACACGGTGGGGGGTCAGGCTGGGTGACGCTTCTCATTCAACGTGGCCCTTCACCAGGAGCTGTCCAGGGTGCTGAAACCTCTGGATAAAAAACAACACTTCCTTCCACTGATCTGACCGTTTGCCTCTCTGTAGCTCAGTGCAATAACGTGTTATTATATGTGTCAGTCACGAGGAGAAAGCAAGCAAATGTACAGGGCAGTCTGAGTTGATAAATATATATATATATATATATATGATATGATATTTCACTGTGCATTATTACGGCCAAACTGCAGGCCAAAAATGTAAGCACGTCAGATGACAAAAGACAGAGAATGCTGTGTTGTTTGCAGTCCTAGACGGTGTCACACTGTAGTCCATCCTCCAGTACATGTTGTGATGTCTGACAGTAACTCCAGCCGTATCTCTCTCGCTGTCTCTCGACAGAGTCGTTGATGTGTAATTGTTGTGTTGCAACAGGATTACTTCAGATGTGTGGTGAAAAGCAAACTGTATTAAACAAAAATGCACAACATTTTTAGCGTCTACTGATTGAGATAACACGTGTGAGCCTGAAGGGGGATTTATGTTCCGTGACTGACACAAATCTGAAACAGTCTGACCGGCATAGCAGCAACCATTCAGAGTTGACATCGATTGGATTTTTTGGGGGGCATGTTTGGCAGAGGCATGGCAAAACACTTCCCGTATGTCCGGTATTTCACAATGAATTGATGGATAGATACACTTTACTGTCCCCATTGGTAAATTTGACCTGGACTCTACCCGTCAACACATAGACAATGAAGAGTGCACAATAATACACACCCTGAGGCCTCTGCATATTTTAAATTTCCAACTGATACAGGCACAAAGGAGTTCTCAAACCGATTCAGCTTGCACCACTGAGCTCTGTATCATCCGTCTGACGGTAGCATCTCATACTCAGAGTGCAGAATATGGGATGGAACACATGGGATTCTCTTTAACTGTTTTTAAAAGTAAACACTGGTTCAAAGAGAGACTGAGTATTACGATGATCTTTCTGACCCCAAATTCCAAACCAAATGTGATCATATTTATTTTAGTGTTACAGGAAAGCAGTAATTCCATGTACCTGATCTCACGCTCCAAAACAGCCCCAATGAAACAAAAACTCCGGAGAGGTCGACAATACACCCAGTAACCATGAATATTTCACTTTAAAGTGCTGTCAATGTGGACACCAAAACATTTGCAGGGCTGGACTTTTGTAACTCACAACTTCTTTGGCATCAAAAATAGTCTTTTTTTTTTATTTCTTTTTTTTTTTTTAATTTAAATTGAATGATGAGTGAGGGACTTGTGTCGCACCAAGAAACAAACTCCTTTACTTCTGTAGAGAATGATATCATCATGCCTATGCCGTGGATGAGCACTCATTTGCGTACAGTGTAAAACTAACAAAAACAGTGAGCTAAAACAGACTATTGACGTTAACCTGCTGCTGTTCTGTTTGTTAAAAATGACTGAAACCACATGATAACTGTGAGGGTGAACATCCAGTCGTCTACAATTCAGAATATAAGTTACACTGTTTCATGCTTTCTGCACACTGTTTTAATGGACGATACTTTAAATCAGATGTATGGCTACCACTGCCTGTTGAGAGCACAGCAGACAGATACAGGCCTTTTCTCTCCTCAAGTAATTTGTCTCCTTGTCTCCAGCCTGTGAACGTAGAAGATGAATGGTGGAGACAGCCTCCATATATCTCCTGTTTCTATCAATTCTCAAGGTGTCTTTTCTTATTCCACTGGAGAGGAGTTTTTGTACCCATCTCTCCTTGTTTCTGGTCAGCATCACAACAAACAGCTGTCTCTTGCAGGACCACGACGGAGAGCACAGACTTGGTGGCATTGATTCCAGTTTAAAGGATAACAAGTAGACAACAGCTCTAAAACTCAATTCTTTTGTCATCTGATATTGCTGTACAGTTAGCCGCATTGATTTCAGTTCCTAAATCTAAGGAGCATTTTATTTTGAAGTCAGTTCTTGTCGAGTGATTTCTAGAGAACAGATGACGTTATAGAACGTTATTATTTGGAGCAGAATCTTCTCATCACAAGGGAAAAACTACACTGCAGCACCTTCATCACTGTCCGTGTTTCCTTCTTACAGATAATTCATACATTTATGCACATCTCAGTGGCTTCAGCGATCCAAGCAATCTGCTCCAGCGGTCCAGTGATAATCTGAAATACACTGTCTCCAGATTTATATGAGAGGACAGGCTGAAGTATCAAAGCATGTTGGTACTCACAACTAATTAGTTTGAGCATACAAAACTACAGACAGCAGCCACCTGTGGTACAGGAACTCCCGAGGGACTCCCGGAGACAAAAACACAATTACCTTTTTTATTTTGCACAACTTTTCTACCACAAAATGCATCATTACATATAAATCCCAAATTAAAAAACACCAAAGAGCTATTTGGTTGACATTTAAATATCACAACAGTCGTAGAACACAGAGGTTTTATTTATTCAAGGGATGATTGGAGAATAACCGAGTGGCACGGGAGGGGGGGGGGGGGATTTTAATGCACTTCGGCAACAAGTGGCTTGGAAAATACTAATGAGAAATTCACATTTTGCGGCTTGTTTTCAAGGTTTTTCTTGGGAGCTCATTTGAAATGACATTTACCCTCAGAGGCCAATTATATCGGCCTCCTTTTGTTTACTCCTGCACCTTTACAGGCTTTTCCCCCCAGGCGCAAATCCCAAACACCACGCAGCGCCGAACTAGCACGGAGGAATCAGTAAATGAGTTCACAGTAATAGTGGGTGACATTTCTACAAGTCAACAGAGGCCCACCGAAAAAAATAATCTATCTTTTCTGTCTCTGGAATAAGAGAGTAACTACAGGATTGGAAGAAGATTGAAATCTACTTGAGTGTTTGAGCAAGAGGAACAGGAATGCTATTAGTAGATTTGGCCGATGTCGTCCAAGTCCAAAAGTCAGGGCTTTGTGTGAGTGTGTGTGTGTGTTTGTGTGCCATGCTGAGGTGGAAGATGGAGATGTCTGACCCCCTCCACTGCCTCCTTTGGCTGGCCTGTATCATTACTCTCTGACTGTGGAGATAGATGTGAGTAGGACCCAGGGCCTGCCTGGCACACAGCTGAGTACGGATAGCAGGTCAGGTCATTAGAGAAAGGCCATGGCCAAAAGAAAAAGTCTGCTGTCCTCCTTTACACCAGTAACCAGCAAAGCTCAAATCCAGTTCAACCATTTTGTTTTAATCACTGAGACTCCTCACACAGATGATTCAATTGTTTAAATTGGTCTCCCGTGTCATCATCAAAGCTTTCAGAGGTATACTTTGTAATCAACTGTTTTATTTAAATGATGAATTACTAAAAGAGTTCCTTTTGATCAAATGATGTTCGATGTTAAAAGTTAAAAGAGCCTGTATTTGTTTCCTTTTATATTTGCTGTGAACAAAGACAAGAGACAAGAGAGGAGGATCATAAAAAGATGCATGTTAACACAGAGCTGACAGTAAATGGTGTTTGTGCTTGTAACATACCAGTGTGTGATGGGGAACTTATTGACACTGCCAGCACACAGGCGTCATCTCCAGTTACTAAGCAGGCGTTCCGTGTTGTTGCAAATTACCATCTGCTACTATCCCTTTGCTTTAAACAGTGTGGGAAGATTGGATCTATTCCGTGCGCTTGTTTCTTCCACCCCACACACACACACACACACAAACACACATACACACACACACACAACACTTTCTGCCTCCTCCCACCCTGTCTGATCTGTGAATATCTCGAAAAAAAATAAGCTCTCATTACATGGATCACGGCATAGCTAATTATCACCTACAGATCTGATGCAAATGCGGAATGCAGGTAACGCCGAACAAGGATGGCTGATCACATGCTGCTTTAAGCCACCGTTGGAAAATCTAAATTAAAGCTTGTTGAAAGGCAATCAGGGCATACTTGTTTTTGCATTATTCACCAGCCTGCCATCTTTATTTGGAGTAAATACTTTAGTTATAATGGGTGTCTCTTTCTTTTATTCAGATAGAGCAGACTTTAGTGCGGACTTGCCAAAATCAAAATTGCAAGTAATGGGTAATACCTTATAATAACTACACACTATGAAGCATTAGTTAAGTATGAGTAAACACTTAATTCATCATTTATAAAGCATTGTTCCTACATTCATAATTCATTAGTATGCAGTTCATAACAACAGTTATAAATGTTTCATTCTTGATTAATAAGCCCGTCTATTATGTGCTTCATTATTGTGTTTTCATACTTTATAAATGATGGATTTCACGTTTGTAAATGAAGTATTATATATTTTACAAACTAATTATTAAGGAGTTGTAGATGATTAATAAGATAATTTATAAAATGTTAGTAAATGATTAATAACTTATTTAGATGTACATTATTCATGCATTTATATATATAATGATTTGGATATGCACTAATGGTTAGGGACTATGTTAATATATGCTATATAAACGCGTATTAATACTGCTTTTAACAGTTTGTACAGCAAACAGAGCTGCCCTGGAGGAAATGTTGGAGAAAGAGAGAGGTGACAGGACTCTTCTCCAGGATGCATTAGATAAGGAGAAGTCTTCCAAAACCAAACTGGAAATGGCCTTGAAAAGAGAAATGATCAGGACGGGTCTTGAAGAAGCCTTAAATAATGCAGCTACTATGGAAAAAGCTCTTGTTCAGGAAAAATCAACAACTGCTGCTTTAGAAGTCTCTGCAAAAGAGGAAGACGGTCATTTTTGATATTCAAATGAGAAATGAGCAGTCGAACTCTCCAAAAGTCCAGCTGGAGGTGGAGACTCTTTCATTTGAGCTCAAGAGCTGTGATAAAGTTAAGAAGCAGCTCAGGGGGAATTTAGCGCACTCTGAACGCAAGCTGGAAGAGCTAGTAGAAATAAATGCCAAGCAGACTCAGCAGAAAAACAAGGAAATCCAGGACCATATCGTTGAGCTTCAACAGAGCTTCAACAGAGCTTCAACAGAGACACAGCAAAAACTCTTCCCAGATCCAGGTGCAGAAACTTCAACAAGAGGTTAGAGCTAAAGACCATCAGCTGCTCTAACTGAAGATGAAGGTGAAGCAGATTGCTGCAGACCTCGTTGAAGAAAAACAACAAGAACTTGCATCTCCAGATTGATGTCGCAGCAGCTCAGTCCCGACAGAAAATCGCTGAAGAGGAAAGTATTTGTCTTACCCATGAGAGCAAAGAAACCAAATCCTCTCTGGTGGCACAAAAAGTTGATGTAACCCAACTGCGACTGAGAAGCGAGACTGAGACTAAGCACCCGCCAGTTCTGATCACACAGGTGCAGACACCATCAGAGCTAAAGATGAGCTCCTGGCATTGAAAAAGAAAAGAATCCATCAGCTGAGGTCTGGCTGTGTGAAGGGAACAGATACATCAATTAAGCACCAAGAGACATCAAAGATAATGTTGGGACACATGTCCGCCCCCCTATACC